TCGTCGTCGTCGTCGTCCGTCGTCCGTCGTCGCCGTCGTCCGTCGTCGTCGTCCGTCGTCCGTCGTCGTCGTCCGTCGTCCGCCGTCGTCGTCGTCCTCGTGTCGTCGTCGACGTCGTAGTAATCGTCGTCCTCGTCGTCGTCCGTCGTCGTCGTCGTCGTCATCGTCGTCCGTCGTCGTCGTCGTCATCGTCCGTCGTCGTCATCGTCATCGTCGTCCGTCGCGGTCGTCGTCATCGTCGTCCGTCGTCGTCGTCTTCGTCTTCGCCGTCGTCATCCGTCGTCCATTGTCGTCCGTCGTCGTCGTCCGTCGTCCGTCGTCGTCGACGACGACGACGACAAGGAGAGGTGGGGGGGTCTGGTGGGGTCTGGGGGGTCAAACACTTTGTCATCGTCCGTCGTCGTCGTTGTCGTCCGTTGTCGTCCGTCGTCGTCGCCCGTCGTCGTCGTCGTCTTCATTGTCCGTCGTGGGTCGTCGTCGTAGTCGTCCTCACGTCGTCGTCGTCGTCGTCCGCCGTCGTCGTCGTCATCGTCGTCGTCGGCGTCGTCAGTCGTCCGTCGTCGTCGTCATCGTCGTCCGTCGTCGTCGTCCGTCGTCGTCGTCGTCCGCCGTCGTCGTCGTCGTCGTTGTCGTCGTCGTCCGTCGTCCGTCGTCGTCGTCCGTCGTCCCTCGTCATCGTCGTCGTCGACGTCGTCGTAGTCGGCGTCGTCGTCGTCCGTCGTCGTCGTCGTCGTCATCGTCGTCCGTCGTCGTCGTCGTCGTCGTCGTCGTCGTCCGTTGTCGCCGTCGTCGTCGTCGTCGTCGTCGTCGTCGTCCTCGTCCGTCGTCATCGTCATCGTCGTCATCGTCCGTCGTCCGATCCTCGGCGGCCTAGTCCTCCCCGTCTTCGTCGTCGTCGTCGACGACGACGACGAACAGGTGGGGGATCCTGGGGGGGGTTGGGGGTGGTCTGGGGGGTCAAACACTTTTTCGCGGTTTCTCTGAGGCTTTCCAGCCTCGGGATGCTCTCCAGCCGCTGCGGCTCGCCGAGAGCGTCCGTCGAGGGGAAAGGATGCAAGGGTAACCTTTGAACCCGCTCATCCTTACCTTACTATGTGGGTTGACTGCATCTCCGACGAGATGGTTTTTTCAGTTCGGGGGGCCCTCTCGATCTCGGCCCCGTGGGACCGTCCTCGGGCCCCGGGGGCCATCCGAGGTGGGCTCGGGGCGAACAACTGCCCACAGAGGAAGGGGCCGGGGCCCCCGGGGCTGCGGGTAGACAGAACCCTGAACGTCGGATGTCTGGGGCGGCGGCGCGGCTGCGAGAGGGGGAGGGAGCAGGAGGGGGAGGGGCAAGTGTGTTCCTGTTTACTCTCCAACCGCTTCTGTAGCGTTCAAGCGTTTCCACAGACCAGGGCGGCGAGGAGGAGGCGGGGAGGAGGAGGAGGAAAAGGAGGAGGAAGAGGATGAGGAGGAGGGGGAGGAGGGGGGGGGACACGAGGGTGGGAGGGGGGACAGAAAGAGGAGAAGAAGTGGCAGGGGTGGCAAACGAGGATGATGAGGTGGAGGAGAGAGACCGACGGAGGGGGAGCGATACGGGGAAACGATGGAGCAGGAGCGGAGGACGAGGAGGAGGAGGCGGCGGAACCGCAGGACACGCGGGGGGGAGAGGGGGGCCGGGAGCGTCAGCGGCGACACGGGCCAGTTATAAGCGCTCGCGCCCTTAACTGACCATCCTAACCCCTCCCACCCATCCCCTCACCCATCCCCTCCCCAAGGCCTGATGTGTTGTCCCTGGTCCGTCGACGGGAGGGAGCCACGGATCTTAACCCCCCCCCCCGACACATGGCTACCTTCGTATGGCCGCCCATCAACAGGGGAGCTGGGAATATTGATAAAATTTGGAGAGGAGGAGCAGGAGGCAGGTAGGAGGAGGAGGAGGAGAGTGCGGGCAGGGCAATTGCTGTCACAAGCAGTCTTCCCGCAAGAGGAGAAAAAATCTGGCGGGGGGGGGGCCAGCAGAAAAAAGCGCTTCCTGACAGCGCCTCCGACAGAAAAAAAACGAAACCTGTCCTCCCCCCCGCGCGGGGGGACAGAGGGCGCGGCTTCCCTAGAGGGACGGGGGGTGGAGGAGGACGAGGAGGAGGAGGAGGAGGAGGAGGAGGAGGAGGAGGAGGAGGAGGAGGAGGAGGAGGGGGAAGGACGAGGAGGAGGAGGAGGAGGAGGAGGAGGAGGAGGAGGAGAAGGGGGATGAGGACGCGAGGAGGAAGAAGGGGAGGAGAAGGAAAGGGAGGAGGAGGAGGCGGAGGAGGCGGAGGAGGGGGAGGGGGGCGGATGAGCAGAAGGAGGGAGGCGAGAATGGGATCCCAAAATGTGGAAGCGCCGAGGCCAGAGCACCACTCTGAACGACAGGAGCAGAGTACCGATCCTGAGATCACCGCTGACGACGACGCCGCCGAAGATGAGGACGAGGACGACGACGACGACGACGAGGACGACGACGCTGACGACAACGCCGATGACGACGACGACGACGACGACGACGACAATGACGACGACGACGACGACGGGAAGACTAGATACCGAAACCCTGTGTGCGAGAATGGAAACAAGCGAAAGGAGCGAGAGCAAACGCGCGCACTGTCAGGGAAGAGATACGAGCAGTACTCATATTCAGAAATTGTGGGGGAGGCGGAGAAGGGCCAGAAGGGGAAAGAGGGGGAGGGTCAGGACGAGAGGGAAGGGGAGGACGATGACGATGCCGACGGCAACGAAGACGACGACGACGACGACGACGACGACGACGGCAACAACAACGGCCATGGCGGCAGCAACGGCAACGGCAACGGCAACGGCGACGACGACGAAAACGACGACCACGACGACGACGACGACCACAACGACGACGACGACGACGACGACGACGACGACGACGACGACGACGACGACGACGACGGCGGCGGCGGCGGCGGCTGCGGCGGCGGCGGAACGCCCGCGCGCCTCGGGTACTGGCCGCCGCCCCCCGCCATGGACATGCGGTTGCACTGCACGGTCAGCGCCGTGATCTGGTGGCAGAGGGACTCCTGCCGCCATCGTCGTCGTCGTCGTCGTCGGCGTCGCCGCCATCGTCGTCGTCGTCGTCGTCGTCGTCGTCGTCGTCGTCGTCGTCGTGGTCGTCGTGGTCGTCGTCGTCGTCGTCGTCGTCGTCGTGGTCGTCGTGGTCGTCGTCGTCGTCGTCGTCGGCGTCGTCGTCGTCAGCGTCGTCGTCGTCGTCGTCCTCCTCTTCGTCGTCGCCGACTCCCGCCGCGGCCTTGCGGAGCGAGGGCGCGGGGCAGCGCAGCCCCCGGATGGAGCGACGAAAAGCAACGGGCCCTACAGCAGGACCAAGGCGAGAAGAACAGCCTTCAAGAGCATGAGACCCTTCGCCGGCCAAACTGAAGAACTCTCGAGGGTACCCCCCCCCAGGATGCACAAGAACATGCCACAAACACGAAGAACACTATGGTACCCTCCCCGAGCCGACCTCGATCTTATACCTCGATCTGGCTGTACCCGAGATGATACAGCGACCCCACGCGACGGCCTACGACGGCCGCCAGCCGCGGCACCGCCACGCCGGAAGCGAGGGCGCTTATACGCGCGACCTCACGCGAGCAGCTTGCGCGCCAATGTCGGCGAAGTCGAACCCGTTTTTCTGCTTCGCTCGTCGTCGTCGTCGTCGTCGTCGTCGTCGTCGTCGTCGTCGTCGTCGTCATCGTCGTCGCCGTCGCCGCTTCAGTCGTCGACGTCGTCGCCGTTGCCGTCGCCGCCGCCGTGGCCGTTTTTGTCGCCGTCGTCGTCGTCGTCGGCGGCGTGGTAGTCGTGGCGGTGGTTGTCATCATCGTGGGCGTCGTCGTCATCGTCGCCGACGTCGGCATCGTCGTCGTCGCTCCCTTCCCTCTCGTCTTGATCCTCACCCTCCTTCCCCTCCTCCCCCTTCTCCCCTTCCTCCACAATTACTGAATATGGGTACTGAATCCGCCGACCCTGTCGGCGTGTGCGAGGGGCTTGGCTGTTCGAGTCGTCGTCTCCGTCGGTCGTCGCCTCCGTCGTCCCCTTTCCCTGCAGCTTCCTTCTCAAGCTCGTGAGCGAGAGAAAAATCTAGCAGTGTCGTAATCGAGTCGAAGGGAAGCCCCTTCCCTTCGATCCCTTCCCCAGGGGGGGGGTCCCGGGGGGGGTCCCGGTGGGGGTCCCGGGGGGGGTCCCGGGGGAGGTCCCGGGGGGGGTCCCAGGGGGGGTGGGGGGGCAGATTCGATTTTCCTCGGGCGGCCTAGAAACCTCGAAAACACTCCCAATGAGGTCCGAATGCCCAAGATAGCCCCCGAGACGGCCCAAGAGGGCCCCGAGTCGCCCAAAGATCGGCCGAAAACGCCCAAGATAGTCCCAAGACCGTCCAAGAAGCCTCCAAGACGTCCCAGGCCCCCTCCAAGAGACCTCCAGGAAGCTCAAAGAGGCCCCCACGAGGCTTCCAAGCGGCCCCTAAGAGCTTCCCAAGAGGCCCACAAACTACCCCCAAGAGGCCCCCAAGAGCGCTCGTCGTCGTCGTCGTCGTCGCCATTCAGGGTCGGCGGCACCGGCCGTAAGGCCTTCGCAATATGGGTGCTCCTCCTGTCTCTTCCCTAACTATGCGCGCGTGTGCTCTAGCCTCTTTCGCCTGTTTGCTTTCTCGCACACAGAGTTTCAGTATCTAGTCTTTCCGTCATCGTCGTCATCGTCGTCGTCGTCAGCGTCGTCGCCGTCGACGTCGTCATCGTCCTCGTCGTCGTCGTCGTCGTCCTCGGCGGCGGCGGCGGCGGCGGTGCCGTCGTCGTCGGCGTCGGCGTCGGCGTCGGCGGCGAAAACTTCACAGAACCTCTGGATCTGAGCTGGGCACGGTGGCAGCGGCGGCCCACTGCGCCCTCGGCCACTGCTCCTCCGCCCCCAGCCCCACGACCGGCAGACCCTCGATCCTCGACCGTCAGATCCTCGGGTCCTCGGATCCTCCCCCGAGGGAGGCCTCGCCAGGAGGGGGTACGCGAGCAGGTGGGGTCGCGCCGCATCGTCAATGTCTCGCCAGCGCCCCGGCGATGTCTTCGCGACGTCGGTGACGCATCGGCGCCGTCGGCGTCGAGAACATCAGGCTCTACATCAAGCCGCATCGCCGATGCATTGCATCGGCGATGCAGCGCGATCCTCCGACCCATCTGCTTGGACCCCACTTGGGAGGTACAAAAAATCCTGGTGTCGCAATTGTTTCGCAATGGGCGATCCTGCCTTGTTTCCGGCTCCGAGACCCTCACGGATCGATCCGGCTCGAGAAATGCTGCAGGAATCGGGACTTCGTAAACGAGGGCTTAGCTAAATGGGGGCTTCAGGATTTGCCATACACCCCATCTTACTATGCCCCCGTCAACGGCGCCCAAGGCCCCCTAAACGAGGGCATACCTAAACGTGGAAATCGGCGTTCCCCGTGCGCCCGTTTGTTGTGCCCCCGTCTCTGGTGCCCTGAAGGAAGACGAGGTCCAGGACTCTGGTCGATTTGTTCTACGATGCTGTAGCTATTTGTTGGCGGCGCTCACAAGGGGGTGGGGGGAGGGGGAAGGTTTCTTGAAAGAAGGCTGCTTCTCAGAAGGCGCGGGCCTGACATAAATAGATACGGCCCGCGCCTTCAAAGAAGCAGGATGCTTCTAAGAAGCCTTCCCCCTTCCCCTATGACGGTCTAGCCGCCCGCGATGCAAGATCAGCGACAGGCGTCGGACGCGACGCCCTCGCTTCTCGTGTTGTGGGAGGGCGGGTGGGAGTGGACGGAGCCCCCTGGCTCGTTCGAGCTGGCCAACCTGACCGTCCCCCCTGCCCCTGCCCTCTGCGCGTGGCCGATGACCTCAGGGTCCGCCGCCGCCGGCCGCAGGCCCGCGGCCCCCCGTGCGTGTAGCGCGCGGGCCCCCGCGGGTACAGCGCGCGCGCCTCCCGCGGCGCGCGGGCCCTGGCAGGGCCAGCGGCCCGGCACCCCGGCGCGGCTCGTCCCCCCCCCCCCCTACGCGGGCGAGAAGCACGCGTGCGCTACCTCGCGCGTGGGCGGCCCCTCCCCGACCTCGCTCGACGCCCCCGCCCTCGGGGGATCTGACCTCGGGCCCCTGGGAACCCCCAAACCGGGCGGTGAGATACCAGGTGGCGACCTGGAATCCCCAAGAAGGTCACCGCTGGGTTTGGGGACGCGGGGTCACCACCGGGCTTTGTGACTCCTGGACCCACCAGTGTCCGGGACATCCTCGGAAAACCGCACGAGTCCTCAAACCGGGTGGTGACACCAAATCGCCCGAGACTCACCGCCAGGTCTTGTCACCACCACGTTTGGGGACTACCAAGGCCCACCCCCCCCTACACTGCCTCCCCCGGGACCGACGCCACCCCGACGCGGTTGGACACCCCCACCGCCTGGGAATGTGCTCTTGTCCTAGGGGGCTCTCGCCTTACAACGTCTCGCCCAGAAGCGGCCCCGCCCCGACCTCGCTTGCTACTCCCACCCTCTGGAGGTCTGTTCTGAAGATCCCTCCTACAATTTCTTGCCCGAAACCGACCCCAACATAACTTCGTCTGACACCCCCACCCTCTGGGAATCTGTTTTTGGGACGCCCCGCCCTACAATGTCTTCAGCTGGACCAACCCCGCCCAGACCCCGTTTGACGCCCTCCCTCTCTGGGAATTTGGTCTTGGGACCCCCTACCCTACAACTTCTCGCCAGCACTAGACCCCGCCCCAATCTCGCTAGACATTGCCAACACCTGGGAATATGTCCTTGGGACCGCCCGCCTTACAATTTCTCACCCGGAACGGACACCATCTCGAATTTGTTTGGACACTCCCACCCCTTGGGAAACTGTTGTGATGACCCCCACCCTACAATTTCTTGACCTGGAGCCGACGCCGCCCCGACTTCGCGTGACACCCCCACCCCCTGGAATGTATGTTTATCCTTGGGACCTCTCACCCTACAATTTCTCGTCCAGAACCGACCCCGCCCTGATCTCGTTGCACCACTCACCTCGAAAAAACTGTTCTTGTAATCCCACATGCTACAATTTCTCGCCTGGAACCGACCCCGCCCCAACCTCATTTGACAAACCCACCCTCTCAGAATATGACCCACCGCACCCAGCACCCCCACCCCCCTGGTACATCTGTCGCAGGGACCCCCGCCCGACAAATCCTGTCAGACACCCCCTGGACCTCGACACCTGACACGGCCACCTCTCTAGAACCTCTGCTCTTGGGACCCCGCACCCGACAAAAGATCCCGCACCATGCCCCACAACGCCAGGACGCCGCCTCCTTTCTGGAACCTCTGCTCTTGGGACCCCCCACCCGACAAATCCTCACCCACAACCCCCCCAGACCTCTCTCCATGCCCCCTCCATGCCCGACACCGCCACTCGGCCCTTTCCTGTGGGCCAGAGGCCCCTCGAGTGAGAGCCCACCAGACTGAAGCCCTGCCGGCGGCGAGTAGCAAAGCCCAAAGACCGGCGGAAGGTACCGACGCCGCCTGCCGCACGGCCAAAGCAGCTGCCCACTGCGGTGTTCAGCATAGTGAGGCTGAAAAACAAAACTACGAGCTGGGTGGCAAGCTCGTCAGGAAATACCTCAGATTTGTTGCGGGGGCCGTTGGAGACTGGCCAGCCATTGCCCCGCGTAGGCGCAAAACCCTGGCCAAACCCCAGAAGAGCGTAGCACCCCGCTCTAAAGCTGCTCGGCCTTCGCCTCATGGGGTCCCTCCTCCTCCTCCTCCTCCTCCTCCTCCGCCTCCTCCTCCGCCTCCTCCTCCTCAGCCTCCTCCGCCTCCTCCTCCTCCTCGGGCCCCGAGTATCCTCCGCCTCCGCCTCCTCCCCTCGAGGCCCAGGAGGAGACCCGCTCTCAAGACCCATGCTGCTCCAAGTGCCCAACCTCGCGCGAGAAGCGCACGCAGAGGGCAGGGCCGGGGAGGCCCCGTGCTCTCCCGCCGTCGCGGTGGTGGGGGGGGGCCGCGGCGGCCTCGCCCCGAACCCGTTCCTCTGTGCGCTGGTCCTCCCTCGCCCCCCCCTGGCGCTCCAGCTGCTGCGCGATGTTGGGCATGCTCGGCCCCGCGGCCGCAGCGGCGTAGGCCGCCGCCATCGAGGCCGACGCCGGGTGCTCGTCGCCGCTGGGGGCCACGGGGTAGACCTAGAAGGGGGGACCCACAAGTCGGTGGGAAAGGGAGGGGGAGGAAGAGGAGGAGGAGGAGGAGGAGGAGGAGGAGGAGCAGGAGGAGGAGGAGGAGGAGGAGGAGGAGGAGGAGGAGGAGGAGAGAGGAGAGGAGAGAGGAGAGAGGAGAGAGGAGAGAGGAGAGAGGAGGAGAGGAGGAGGAGGAGAGGAGAGAGGAGGAGAGGAGGAGGAGGAGGAGAGGAGGAGGAGGAGGAGGAGAGCAGGAGGGGAGGAGGAGGAGGAGAAGGAGGAGGAGGAGGAGGAGGAGGAGAGAGGAGAGAGGAGGAGGAGGAGGAGGAGGAGGAGGAGGAGGAGGAGGAGGTGTAAAACCAAGAGTCATCAACGATGTTGGAATCACCCCCCCCCTCCAAGGTCCCCCTTGACAGGCCCCCAAACCGGTTCAGTTCCATTGGAGGAACGAGCTGCCTCATTGGACGACAACCGATTGAAGATTCGGAAGCATGCTAAAACATTGTTCTCGGGATTCCAACGCCACGGATCAACATGACTGTTGCGTGTTGACGATCCTGAATCGTGCCAGAACGCCATTCCTGGGACTTCAACACAGCGAATCAACGTAACTGTTGCGCCCGCGTAATCCTGAACCCTTTCAAATCACCGTTTCCGGTACGTTCGGCGCTGCGGCGAGAGCCACATTTTGAAAAGGAACCGCCTTCAATCCGTGAAACTCTTGCGAATCCCACCAGCCCTTTAGGGCGTGAGTGGTTTAGCGAGCCCCCTCTGTCCTCAACCCCCCTTCTTCCCCTTCGGGGAGGGGTTTACCCCTCCCCCTACCCCCTCCCCCTGGGTCTGGAGAGGGCGGGCCGCGGGTCGTTGGAGGGGTCTTTTTCGACTCCTGGGAGGGCTAAAAAAACGACGACCCTCACGAGGATTCTGGCCCCGACGGGGGGGCTGAGAAAAAATGCTCTCCTCTTCTCTGAAGACAAAATCCTTGCTTTTACGAGGGTTTGGGCCCCATTTTGGCCTCCCGAGGGGGCCGCGCTCATCTTCCTTCATAGCAAAATCATTGATTTTACGAAGGTTTTGGGCTCATTTTGTCCTTCTCAGGGGGCAGCGCTTCTTTGCGCTTCTGAGGAGGTCGCAAGAGGCCCCAAGATGGCCCCAAGAGGCCCCCAGGAGCCTCCCAAGAGGCCTCCAAGAGGCCCCCAAGAGGCCCCCAAGAGGCCCCCAAGAGGCCCCCAAGAGGCCCCCAAGAGGCCCCCAAGAGGCCCCCAAGAGGCCCCCAAGAGGCCCCCAAGAGGCCCCCAAGAGGAGGCCCCACGAGGAGCCCGAACGACTCACACCAGGACGAGGGGCCCGAACGACTCACACCACGAAGAGCCCGAACGACTCACACCACAAGGAGGGGCCCGAACGACTCACACCAGGACGAGGCGCCCGAACGACTCACACCACGAGGAGCCCGAACGACTCACACCACGACGCGGGCCCCGAACGACTCACACCACGAGGAGCCCGAACGAGTCACACCAGGAGGAGGGGCCCGAACGACTCACACCAGGATGAGGGGCCCGAACAACTCACACCACGAGAAGCCCGAACGACTCACACCAGGACGAAGAGCCCGAACGACTCACACCACGAAGAGCCCGAACGACTCACACCAGGAAGAAGGGCCCGAACGACTCACACCAGGACGAGAAACCCCAAACGACTCAAATCACGAGGAGCGCTTTCTCTCCCTCCTCCTCCGCCTCGTCCTTCTCCCGCTCCCCCACAAGGAGGATGTACAAGGAGGCGGGAGGAAGGAGGGACAGGGGAGATATGCGGGGCCAAACGGACACTCGCCTGAAAAACACGACTGTCGGCATGCTTCGCATGAGTTGCTGTTGTGAGATGGGCTGGTGGGGATACGCGAATCGTAAAGAATTTTGACAAAGAATGCGCGCCGCGCAAAAGCGAAAGCTATGTTTTGAAAACCACCCCGCTCTCAATCCGTGAAACTCTTGCAAATATTGAAAACGAATGTGCGCGGCGCAGAAGCGAGAACCGCATTTTGAAAACGACCCGCCCTCAATCCGTGAAACTCTGCAAATATTTAAAATGAGTGTACGCCCCGTTCGGGCGAGAACCACAAAACAAAACCACCTGCCCTCAATGCATGAAACTCTCGCAAATGTTGACAACGAATGTGCGCCGCGCTAAGGCGAGAACCACATTTTGAAAACCACTCGCTTTCAACCCGCGAAATTCTTGCAAATGTTGAATATGCATGTGCGCCGCGCCATGGCAAGAGACACATCGTGAAAACAACCCGCCCTCAAGCCGTGAAGCTCTTGCAAATTTTGCAAACGAATGTGCGCCGCGCTAAGGCGAGAGCCACATTTTGAAAACCACCCGCCCTCCTTCTGTGAAACTGTTGCCCATGTTTAAGCTTCAGAGTCATACATGGTGAGGAAACCTCAGGCGAAACGCCCGGCCCTCCCTGAAAACTGGCCTCGGGGTGCGACAGGAAGAAATTACTTGTGAGGAAAAGGAATGGAGGAGGAGGAGGAAGAGGAGGAAGGGGAGGAGGAGGGAAACGCGGAGGAAAGATGAGGAGATGGCGGCAAGAGCGAGCGAACAAGACACCGGTGCAGGCTGATTCGGCGAAGCGGTCAAGGCGCGCGCGGCTGTAGCCTCTCAAAATCCTGCAAACAACTCTGACCCACACGAAGGTCTTTATGATTACAAGTCGGAAGCTGAGGTTGGGTGCTGGCTGGAGGTCCAACTGGTTAGGTCGAAAGTCGGACTCGGAGCGAGCGCTGTCGTGTGGGGGGGGAGGATTTGGAGGGAGGGAGGGAGGGACGGAGGGAAGGCGGGAGGAGGAGGAAGAGGAAGAAGGGGAGGAGAGATAGGTGGAGGATGGGGAAGGAGCGAGCGAGCAAGACACTGGCACAGCTTCACGCGGCGAAGCTCGTGAGCCTGTGCCCGTTCGGGCGAGGAGCGTGATGCCGTCGCCTCTGAAACCCTGCAGACAGCTCTGTCTGACACGAAGGTTCTGATTTCTTCAAGCCGGAAGCCAGAAGTCGGAATAATGAGGTGGCGTCGGGAGCTGGAGTTCAGCCAGGTGCTGGCTGGAGGTCCAACTGGTTGGATGGAAAATCAGAATGGGAGCGCAGGTGTGCGAGGGGGAGGAGATGGAGCCGGGGAGAGGAGGAGCGCGCAGAGCTCCGTGGGCCGCGTCTGAGAGGACGGGCGCGACGCGGGAAAGAGCGCAGCCGGCGAACGCCGACGGAAGCGGAAAGGCAGGCAGGGGCCAGCCAGGAGGCTGCCCCTGCCCCTCCCCGCGTGCCGCGGCGTAAAAAGCGCGTGGCAAGGGTGCCGCAGGAGGGCGACAGGGGCCGCCAGCCAAGACAGGGCGAAAACCAAACGGGCTTCCCTCCCACAGAGCACCCAGCGCCGCGGCAGCCAGGCAGCCGAAGTCGCCGAGGCGCCAGCGGCAGCCAGGCGCCACGAGCCGCCCAACCGCGGACCCCAGACGGCACACCGCCCAGCGGTGTGCAGCCCAGCTGGCGCGGAGCGGGCGGCTGGCGATAGGGAGGAGCGTGCAGGAAACCCAGAGGGGAAAGCAAGCTACGGATGCAATGAAGTCAAAGATGGGCCGGCACGCCGGTTTTCCCCGGTGCTGAGGATGAACACTTCGGCCCCGCAGCGGAGGCGGCCAGGCGCGGCCGGGCGGGCCCAGGAAGGCCCAGGCGCGGCCGGGCCCGGGGGACCAGCCCCCTGCCGATGCTGCCAAGTGCGGACGAGCTGGCCTCGGCGAGCGGCGAACGGTTTGGCCGAGCCCAGACGCCCGTGCCTCACCTCACGGGCCATGCGGACGCCCCTGTACCTTGCTAGGGAGCCCACAGAGGACGCACGCGCCCAGCTATGTACATGAACACGGCCCCTTGACCCGCGAGACCTGCCGCGCGATACGAACACTCGCGCAGGGCGAACTCTCGAAACCAGCGCGGATCATGTACATGTGCGTCCTTCTTTCGCTCCTGTACCTTGCAGGAGCCGCCACGCCGCCCGCAGCAGAGCCAGGCGCCCACCCCCTCCCCGAGAGGCGTCGCGCCCCGGCGCCGAGAGCCCCGCCAGGGGCCGTCGGGGCCGCCAGCCTGCGGGGCCGCAGGCGGGGCGCCAGCGTCGGCCTCACCCTAAAGGAGCCCGTCGCCGCCTCGAGGGCGGTCGCCGCGCGGCAGTCCGCCGCCGCCCTCCACTCCGAGGGCGGGTCGCCGCAGCACTGCTGGGCCGCGAGCGCCTGAAGGCAGGTCGGGGGCGCACGTCCGCCGCGAACGGCTCCTCGGAGGTGCGAGCGGCGATGCAGTCCGAGCAGTGGCGGCGCACCGCCTGCAGCGGTACTCGCCGAACTGCCCGTCGGCACCGCTATGCACCAGCCCGTGGTCAGTGCCCCACTGAATCACGACCCCAGGCGCCCGCAGAAGCGGGGGCGGGTGCATGTCATCTACTCCCCACCTCTTCCTCGCAACGACCCGCTGGCACGCCCAGGCAACATGCTGCAACGCCCGTCGATGCTCGCGCAACGACTCCTGGATCGCCTCGCCGACGGTGGTGGCGACCATGTGGCTGGAGGAGCCGAGCCTGGCGGAGCAGTCAGCCCAACTATTACCAAGCCGATCGTCGAGGTCCGCCATGTCCGAGTCGACGGTGTCATCCATGCTGCAATGCACAGGCGTCCACCTCAAGGTGGGCGGGCCTGCAGAGGTACGACCTCGCGCGGCCCCGAAGATGTCCCTCCACACCCGCGCCTGCTTCGCCCGCTCACGGGCCAGCCTAGGAGCCCATGACGCGCCTTCACGGACGAGGGAGAGCAAGACTGCGGCCCAGCTTTACCGAGAAGCGCTCTGCTCTGCCTGCCGTCTGCAGTCGGTAAGGCCGTGGGCCATAGCGGGCCCTGATCGGCAAAAACGTGGTGGGATCAAGCTGCACAACCGCGCACCCACAGCAGCGGATCCCGGGGATGCCCGAGG